ACATAAAATAGGATGTCAGCAAAACCTCTACCTGTCTTCAGAGCTTGAATGTGACATTTTTTAGCTATTTAAATGTTAGCATTTAGCTAGCTTCAATTTTTACCCCCCAATAAAAAGCAATACAACAATTTTCTCTCATAGTTAAATTTAGCCTATTCTAGTATTTGACTCTGGGACTAATGCTCACAACAGCACATTTTTTACCGAAAAAAAGGAAACTTACCCCAGGTAGACTCTCTTGTCGTGTCGGAACTTGCGGTTGGTCATGTCTCCGTGGTCCCGGATGATTTTGCGGACGTGTTCCGGAGGCATCTCCTCCTTCTGCGCGTCCACGAAGCCGAACTTCCGCTTCTCTGCGTAGCGCTTGGACTGGAGCTGCTGCCATTTCCGCGCTGAGGAATAAGGGTTTAGTTAGGATGTGTGGATGGATGGGAACATGGATAAAATACTGTAATTCCTGATTTTTTTACTGTACTATTGTTATGTTCACTGTCACTTCTGTACCGTGAACTTATCATTACAGTTAACAAAAAATTCCTGGACTTTTCCTGCACCTGTCACCATCGTAAATATATAGTTCTGTGAATATTTCCATTTTTCTCAGACTGTGAACTTTTGCTACCGCGAACATAAAGTGAATTACAGTAATGGATAGATACGTAAGGCCTAAGAAAAAAATGTTGTGTTTCAGTCTAGGAAAAGGTAGGGTTGGTAGGTAGGGATTATCTTTTTTTATTCTTTTCTTATTATTCTTATAGTGATCCAACTTGTGATCCGACTTATACACTACAGTTTTTTTTTAATGAGGTAAAACTTGGAAGAGACATTTCATTGACATTGTTTCGGGTTTCCAAGCCCTAAAAACTGTACTGGATGCCTTTAATGTGTGGTGGGTGTGCTGTCTTACAGCAGTCTTACCTTTCTCCTGCAGTTTCTCCTCCGACATAAAGTCGGGGACTCCGTGTCCAGGCATGAAGCTGTAGGCTGCCATGGTGGACAGGAGACCAGTTTACAGGAACTACTCACTGGAATCACAAACAACAAACATGTCATGTTATACAGGCATGAAGCTGTACGCTGCCATGGTGGACAGGAGACAGGCTCACTGGAATCACAAACAACAAACAGTTTAACAAATAACAAACATGTCATGTTATACAGGCATGAAGCTGTACGCTGCCATGGTGGACAGGAGACCAGTTTACAGGAACTACTCACTGGAATCACAAACAAGAAACAGTTTAACAAACAAGAAACATGTCATGTTATACAGGCATGAAGCTGTAGGCTGCCATGGTGGACAGGAGACAAGCTCACTGGAATTACAAACAAGAAACAGTTAAGTTTAGAGTGGAACTCCCTGTAAGTACAACAGTTACCTGCATACCATCTTCGGGGTAGAAGGCCGAAGGCGTCTAGCCTGTGTGGTTCTGGTCTCTACTTAATCCAACATAATTTGTGAGGTACAGCATATTCTCCCAAATTTAATATGCTTATCCAGCTTGTTCTTAAATTCATGATGTCCTCGAGTACGCGAGTCTCGACCACTGACTGGTTGGGAGTTATCCTGCACTACAACATTCTAGTACTACTAGTACTACTTATAAATTTTGTTTGGGACATCATCACTAGATAGCTTAAACAATGCGCAGTTAGAATGTGTAAAGAAGAACAAGAAGAAAATGTGCAAAGGTTAGGTGCAGCAAAAGCAGCATTCACTTGAAAAAAAAATATTTATTCTTTGCATGAAAGTTTACGTAAAATTTACTTCATGGGGAGGGGGGCAAAACTTCTATTTGGTTCACGTTCAAATAAACTTGAATTGGTAACTCCAACACCCCAACAGCAATACCTATCGACAGCGCAAAAATTACCAGAAGCTTCCTGTAACTTCCTAACGGCTAAATTAAGACCGTTTACAAACGAGAACTGTTGATCTGGCCAAAAAAATCATCATATCTCTCGAGCTCTCTACACTGTGACGCGCCGGATTGAGTACTTAGAATGCTCCATACAAAAAGTCGTAGTACGGTCACGATACGTCAAATGAGGCTGGTTTATGTGTCCCCGTGATGTCAACGAGTCAGACCACCGTGTGTGGGTCAGTTGGAAATTCAAAAATCACTGGAAGACGAGATATGTCCCGTCAAAGTTGACCTTCTAAGTACTCATTTTGGCGTGGTTTTTCTGTGTTTTGCGGTCTGCATGGGGGTTTTCAGACGACCGCTGTCCAGTCTACTTCCGGGTCAAACCACGCCCCCTAACAGCTGCTAATACGCGTATGTGTGCTTATAGTTGGACGGCGATTGCGTCCGATACGGATGTTCTGGCCAGTGTAACGGTACGGCCCGGAGTCTCTTTTGTTATCACACATGCTTCCAAATGTTTCATAGAAACTCGAACGGCCCCCGTTACACAAAAAGTGTAACGGCCACATGCGGCTGTCGGGCGATTAAACCCGCGGTCGGGTTGGTACGTTGGGCAATACGGCATGCACAGCGTAGTATTACTATATATTTTATTCTTTATTGCAAGATAACATGTAAGCCTTACCTCTAATAGTTGTTCTATCAGGATCACTCAGTTTAACCATACTAATTGTTTCTTCGAACTTCACGTTACACCCTAGCTGTTCACCCTAACCATTCTGACCGGGACATATCATTCATGTTTCTAACGAAACATACCGTAAGTTGTCTTACAGACAATCTGTTTTGCTGTGCGCACGTATGTAAGTTCTAATGTAGTTCATTTTCGTTCACGACAATTTCAGTTATGGGGTAATTGTAACTTTGGACTACATATATCTTTAAATGGAACAATGCTAGAATGTCTACATACATGTAAAATTGCTTGACAAATAAAGACGGTAGATTTTTCACCTGTCACTTGAATGATATAGCCCTGAACAAGAGAATTCCCACCTGTGTCATAGGAATGACATAGCCTTAACATGGCAGATATATGTCACCTGAGCCATTTGAATAATATAGCCCTGAACAGCAGAATTTCCACCTGTGTCATAGGAATGACATAGCCGGCAGATATTTTACCTGTGTCACAGGAATGACATAGCCTTAAGACGGCAGATATTTTACCTGTGTCATAGAAATTATATAGCCTTAAGACGGAAAATTTTTTACCTGTGTCATAGGAATGACATAGCCCTAAGACGGCAGATATTTTACCTGTGTCATAGGAATGACATAGCCCTAAGACGGCAGATATTTTACCTGTGTCATAGGAATGACATAGCCCTAAGACGGCAGATATTTTACCTGTGTCATAGGAATGACATAGCCTTATCATGGCAGATATGTCATTCCAATAACCATCATGGAAATTCTGTTGTTCAAGGCTATATCATTCCAATGACACAGGTGAAATACGAATGATATAGCGCCTTAGACAACAGAATTTAAACCTTCTCTTGTAAGTTTATCTTTGTTGGTAAAAGTCA